GAAAAAAATGCTAATATATATTAATGGGAAAGATTACTTGCTGTATCAGAGAGGCTGATTTTTGATCTTATTTTCCAAATAAATTATTGAACTGCCAGATGACTAAACTATTCACTTCCTTGCATGACTATGTTTTCTGTGAAAGAATCCTGATTCATAATATCATTATTGAACCTTTATCATCTTGTACAAGGCAGAAAGCCATACATGTAGGATTTAAAGTTCTAGGCACTTTTTACCTCATATCAATAAAAATTGCAATCTCTGTCCTGCAGGCATAAAGGAATGAGTAAGACACAAAGGAGAAATACTAACATTTAAATCCAAGGAGCTTAGTTTCATTATTTCTGTTTGATACTTTAGGAAACAGAGGCACAGACACAAAGCAACCGCACAGACATACACATCCAGGGAGTGGCTTAGTGGGAAACAATTCAGATCTGCAAGGAGGCTGGGAAAGTTTTCAGTCAGGCTTTTGCTTCTGTCTCTGCTATAAGAAACACAGCAGGGGCTGAGGCTGGGAAAAGCAATGGTCTGACCAAGGAGAAGGTGGGAGCAGCACACTTGAGGAGCCTCTAGCTGCTACAGAGTGGGCTGGACAGAGTAGCAGGACTAGAGCAACTTCGTTTCCTTCAATCTGACCTACTGCTGGAGATTACTTAAAACTTTGTCTACAACATGCTGTCTGAGGGTGTGCCCCTCCCTCTTATCTCTTCTTTTCTTTTCTTTCTCCTATTCCTTTTCTATCTAGTGCCTGAAAAGCGTCCTGAGGGTTTGACAGTTTCTATTTAATCATTTCATCCTTCTGTATGGAAGACTGCTGAGCACCATACAGCGAAGTACCAGCCTGGAATTTCTGAATATCTGCCTGCCCTCTTATCTGCTTTGGTGCCAGACTATTGGTATCTCACCCGCCCCCCACCACCTTGTGTCTGTGATGCTGCAACACATAAAATTTCTAAATAACTCCCTTTACTGCAGGGGAAAACAAATTTAAAAGCCTGAATTTTGCCATCACACCCAAAAAAAGACAGAGAAAAGAAAGATTGTTTCCCAAGGTTTTCTTCTAGCTCCCAGTCTACTAAGGGTATCTCCATTAAAACCAGTATCAGATTAAAGAGGGAGAAGGACTAGCAGACAACCATTTGATTTAGCCTCGGAGGACACAGTTCAATTCCCAGCTTGCTGCCTTTTGCAACTCACAATCTGTTATGAGACTCTACAACAGACTGGCTTCTACTTTATGTCTTCCACAAAACCAGACAGCTTAAATAAATAAATCAATCCACTAATATCTGGTCAAATGCTCAGATGTGATGAAATTGCCAACTTCCAGTTGTCCTGCTATTTGCATATAACAAAGCTGGGACTGAGCTTTGGAAAAGACATAAGTTAAAGAATTAATTATTGTCACTCATGGGCTCAGTCAGTTTGTTCCCAGCTGGGGATTGGGAGTGATTTATGTTTCCATTAGGGATCTGAACCTTAGCAATTATATTAATTATTCAGAATGAACCCAAAGTTCATATTGGAAATCCTGGATGAATCAGAACATTTCCATGTCTTTTTTTCAATATCATCAAGCACTCAAGTCTGGACTGTGCAAAAGGGTGTTAAGGAAACATTGGGCAAAGCACGAGTACAGATGTGTGTGCCCCACGAGCAGTACCCCATGGTGAATGCAAGTGAACTTCCTTTCCTTCAGCAAGCACTCTGGCTGCCTGAGGGAACAAGTGTGTACGCACACACAGCTATTAAAAAAATGACACTGTGATGTTACACCTTCTGTAGGCCCTGGCAGATCTTCTGTGCACTCATATTCCACAGGCATCTCAAAAATGACAGTAGCTTCCTTGTGAATACTCCCCTCTGTCAAGACAGACACAAACCAATTTATCTAGGAAAAACCAACAGAGGAAAGGGGCACTAACAGCAGGTTGTAGAAAACAATCTAACTGTAATCTGGTGTACAGACTTTTGCTCTCAATAACATGTATGCACATCTGTAGGTGCAGACATTTACAGGGTTTATGGTATTTTGGAGAAACATCCAGACATCTGGAAAGGAAGCAGTGCTGTATTGGCTCTTCTGTCACTTGTCCCTGCAAAAGATTCTGTGATCAGAGAGCAACAGCCAATTTGGCTAATGATGTTGAGGAACTATCTTTTTACCTTTAGTCATGGCCACCCTTTAGATAGAAATTTGCAGGTTCTGCAGAACTAATATGCTTCTGGCAAAAAAAGTAAGGAAACACGTCCTTTAGACTCAAAAAAACAGAATTAAATGGTAAGTGTCATTCTAACAGCCACTGACTACACTATGGCCATGAAGTTAAATTAAGCTAATCATGTTGGACTGGTCAGTGAGGTCAGCTGGAATTTTCCAACATCTTCAGCAGAATAGAACCGCACCCCTCCACCACTAGAATATCAAAAGATTTTCTGCATGCTCCAGGATTGCAACTCTAAGTATTTTCAATATTTATCTGAAGTAAAGTTGGTAGCAATCAGAAAGTTTTCAGAATTATGCACTCTTCCTAGGTTCAGACTGCCAGTCAGCACATTAGAGATCATTGTTGTCAGTCATCTCCAAACATGTTGGGAATCTGCAATTAGAAACATTAACAATGGGATTTCACAGATGTAGGTTACAGGCTTTCAGGACAGAAATGGCAGTTGCTGGCAGTGGGGAAATACTTAAGAACTACTTATCTCCTAATTAAACAAGGTACTGTACTCTAAGTACTGAATGCTAAGCAGTGCTCTAGCATGTGCTCATCTTAACCCTACAGAATTCTGCTGAATTACTAAGGCTCCATCTGAGCCTTTCTTCGCCAAGACTCCTGCATAAGCAGATGGAGCAGTTCTGCTGTTTCCATGCTGACACATTTAGACTGCAAAAGTACAGGATTTGGTTCAAATTTATCATAAAATCACTTCAGATAGGACACTGTAATCTTTACATCCTTCTCAAGTATTACAAACAGAAAGACAAAACTGAGTTGTGTTTTAGACAAACAATTGTTAAAGCAGCTGGTAAAAAACATATTGATTTATCAGACAGAGAGTGCTGGCTGAAGTCAGAGTAGGACAGCCAGCCCCAAAGATCTCCATACCCCCCTGAAGAAGGGGATGGTCCTCACCAGATGGATTCCCTAGGACACATTAATGCATCATACAGCTCCCAATGGCACTGCCAACACCAAAGATCACCATAATAAAAGAGCGTGAATGCAGGTAGTGATGGTGCTGAGATATTTCTCTGAGGAGTCACCTGTGAGGGCAGACTGGCAAGTGGCAGAATATGACAGATTTAGACTTTGGTTTTCTCTCTCTGATGCAACACAAAGTGGTTGGAACAGAATCCAGGAGTGCAGCCAAATTAGACTTGGCTTTTGAATGCTGTCTGGTGATAGATTTCAACATGAGGCATTAATTAATATTGCTGGAACACGCTGAGGGGAGACTACCCAGAACCTAGAGAAAAAGTCACTGACAAAGTTATGTCATAGTCTGTGCAAACAGACATCTGCTAATTCCTATTCAGGAGAGAAAATTTCCCCTAGACTGTAACTTCCACAGAATATCTCCCCTCAAAGACACTGAAGGATTGCTTCTATAATAAAACCAGAATAAAGCTTCAGAACATGATTTGCAGGGAGTCAGATCATCACACATAAACCAAACGCCTGAAGTTTAACTCCAGACCTCCTGTCAGGGATGTCTCAAGTTCCTTTGGGGTTTGAATAACTTCTAACTGGAGAATGAGAATCTCCTTTTTGAAATTCTAAGATTTCAAAACCTGGAGTGAGGACAAAACTTGAACCATCTTGTGAATGCACCAGAAGGAATATGCCTTGTTAGTTTGAGAGAGAGAAGAGCCAAGTGCCCAGCTCCTGTAAGTGTAGCTTTCCTACTCTTAATTTGATAGTACATGGTCCTAAACCCACAGTTCCAACATGGAAGAGGCTCTCACGTATGGCTTTGTTAAAATTTAACTTTGTGAAGAAACAGCATGTTTAAATAAAATTAAATTCCTTTGGTTTGGTTGTTTTGGTTTGGTTTTTTGTTTGGTTTTTTTTGTTTGTTTGTTTGTTTTTTTTTTTAATGGAAGACTTAAGCTGTAATAAGCTATTGTTGGAAATAAAATGGGAATGCTGGCAGCTAAGAGTCTAAATACCAAAATAAGACAATAGATCAGTCATTTTTATTATGGCTTCTTTATACTTCCTTGAAATTATAGGTCTGTAAAGGTACCAGGCTTAATTGTCTAGTAAGCCACTATCTTGCCTGCCTCTCTCCTAAATACCACGACACAGAAGGCTATCTCACATTTCCTTTTGTTACTTTTATAGGTATGAAGTAAACAATTCAATTTATGAAGCTCTTTTTCCCCATAGTACGAGGTTAGTATTACACTGAACCTCAGAAGCAGAAAAGAACTGTCATTCAGTGGACAGAGTGGAACAAAAACAGAGCAGGAAGACAGAGCATAAATATGTGTTGCCATTTATGTGCAAACGTTTATCCAGTTTAATACATAACAATATCCGATAAGCAGACCTATATGAAAATCTAAATTCCACAGCATAGAATTCATTCCCACACACTCTGACTTAGAGTGAACATGAAGGTTCTGTAAATTCTAAATTACACGTTTAGATTATGATTTTCCATTTTCAGCTACGGTCAAAGTATGCTTATCTGGTGTATCTAGCACCAGCAGAACCAGCCAGTTTTGATATTTGGGCTCCTTCATTTGAATCATTTCAGTGTGACAATTTAGCATTTACACCTGAAGATGTAATACATCCTTCAAAACCTGGAAAACTTGTATTTTAAATTAAAATGAGTGCTAAAACGTAACAGCAATATCTGATTTGAAGACAGATTTTGATCTCTGCTAACAGATTAAAGCTGCTTACAGTCCTAGATAGCATATGTAAATATCTAGCAGCATCTCCTTGGCACTTTGTTCTGGCCTTTTGTATTTATCTTACCTTTAATGCACCACGTTTTTCACTTGCTTCAACAATCAAAATCTCTGCCATATCCTCAGCATGCTCAGACCGTGCATGTACAAACAAGGCTGTGCCAGCTTCTGATACATTCTTTAGTGCAACTAAAGTTCCATTGTGTTCCACCTTAAAGTCTGGGTTAGAAACTTCGAAGTTCAGTTTGTTATTCCCCTTGCAGTCATCAAATGCCACTGGGGTGGAAAAAGAAAAAAAGAAAATAAACAATTGTAAGTATGCACTTTGATAGACTTCAAACATTTTCACGTTACCGACTCTGTCTACAGATCTCATGAAGAAATGTGTACCAGTCTAAGGGGAGAGACTTTCAAAGAGGCTTTATATTTGTGTGATTATAATTCAGAGACAAATCATACAAACATGAGCTTTCAGAAAGATAAAGAGATTTTGACCATGTTAATCAGGGAGGTAAGAGATAAACAGAACATTTTTGACATGATCAGTTTTTTTATCACTCAAACCAAATGCACCAAATACCCATCTAGTTCTACAAATTGAGCAGTTGCAGTAGAGACCTTGGTTTTCCTCCTTGTCATAACACAAGAACTCTTCTTTCAGTTATCCAATAAATCTACACCTAGAATCTGTTGTTGATAGAATATTCAACTACATAGTCTACTGACAAGTGTACAGAACAGAAAAAAACAGTGACATTTCTTACTAGCTACCAGGATTGTGATACATTACGTGAGCTGCACTATCAGTATAGCTAAGGATTATGAGAACTTTTAATTAAACAGTCGCTGTCAATAATCCCATTTCAATTTACATGGAAGACTTAACATATTTAGGAAGGCTGACAAAGAGAAAAATGTCTCTAAAGTACAAAGGTTTGAGACTTTGTCTCAAGTTCCTCCTCTGAGCCTGGTAGATTCACTCTGCACAAAATATTGGAAGAAACATTAGTGATGTGACTACATTATTAAGAGGTCTACACCATAGAATTGCAATTGCTAAGCAAACTTTTCAGGTTTTGCCATTTCTGAACAATATACTTGCATATGAAGCATTTTTTTTTTTTGTGGACAATCTGTTCTGTGTTCCCCACCTGCTCCTTGAGTTACTGCTGCTGTAATTTTTCACTTATCTGTACACTCTCACTGTTTTGATTTTACATTTCATTTCTGTTGAATCTTTAAAAACTGTATTTCACTTTCAGAAATGAATACAGACAAGGCTACAGACCACGGAAGATGAAAGACAATAGAGTTTTTCTGAAAATAAAACACTTTGCACAATTGTTTAAATTTACTGTATAGACTTCTTGTATGGGGTCGTTGTTTTTAAGGGAAAAAATGTAATCCCAGATTCTCTCCCAAACTGGCCAATACCCAAGCTTTTCTTGACTGTATAATCTCTGTAACTGATCTAAAAGCACAGACAGAATTCTCCTAGGGAATGGCCACACAACATTCCTGGGAAGCTACACAGAAATCTTCTTCATCAATTTTTGCACCTACTTCCAGACATGGAAGACAACTCGAAGACAGGGCTGCCAGAGGACCTGATGAAGATCCTCTCTGGGCATTCACTGGATTTGAATCCCAAAGTTGAAGCCCCACAGGAAAACAGAACTGTTGCAGAAGAGTTCCAAAATTTGAATACAACTTCATTTCATGACAAATATTGATGAGAAAGGTCAAATTAAAAATTAACCAAAAGCAAAAATCTGAAATGTCTGAAATTCAGAATATGAGACGCTGAACACTATTTGCCAAATTGACAGTGGTGGGTTGACCTCAGGCTGCATCCCAGTCACTCACTCTCACTCCTGTGCCTCAACAGGACTGGGGCAGAAAAGGAGATAAAAAGCTCATGGGTTGAGGTACAGATAGGGAGATGAGTTACCATTTACTGTCATGGGTTAAACAGAAGTGATTTGGGGAAAATTAATTTCATTGAGGCCAGTTAAAATAGATTTGGATGGTGAGAAAAAGACAAAATTAAACCCCAAATCTCTACCCTACCTCACAGCCCTTTCTCCCAACCCAGCGCCACTGCTCCGTTCCCAGCTCCGCCGCCTCCTCTCCCCAGGCGGCACAGGGGGATGGGGAACAGGGCTCACGGTCTGCACCTAACGGCTCCTCTCTGGGGCTCCTTCCTCCTCACACCTTTCCCCCTCCAGCCCGAGCCCCCTCCACAGGCTGCAGCTTCCTTCAGGACAAGCTCACCTGCTCCTGTGTGGGGTCCTCAGGGGGCTGCGGGGAACCCTTGCCCCGGGGGTGGTGGAACCCTTTCTCCTTCTCCTCCTCCTCCTCCATCCTTGGGTCTCACTCCGCTCCCTCACAATTTTTTTCCCCTCACCCCTCACTCCCAGGCAGCATTTTGCCCCTTTCTTAAACAGAGAACCTTTCTTAAACTTTCTTTTTTCCCCAGAGGCAGCACCAGCATCCTGAGGGGCTCGGCTGTGCCCCTTGGTGAGGCAGCTGTGGAACCATCCGGAACCGGCCGGAACAGCCCAGAACCGGCTCTGTGCCGTGGGGCAGACCCAGCCTCACCCCACAGAGGCCCTGCAGCCCCCCGCCAGCACCCGCACACCGACACATCCACAGAGGCCTCGGGAGCCTGAGGCAGGACTTCAGATGACCCTGTGAATTTGTACCTGATATCCTCTTATAGAGGAAAGTCCAAACTCTACAGTCACCACAGTCTCTTGCATAAAAATTACCCAGCACCTGAAGGATCTGTTTCTGTACAAGTTTTAGGCTTGCTTACATATTTTTAACTAAAAGCTGCTCTTATTTCTTCTCCTTTACTTGAGGGCAAAAGCACTATCCTTGGATTCACAGTGGGATAACAAGCCAGAATTTCATCAGCCCATTTGCTATTTCATTGAATTTTGCTGAAAGCAAGAGGGATTATAAATAAAAAAAGAAACAAAAAGCTCTCTTCCTTCACATACTCCAGTCCCTCCAGACAAACCTATCTCGGTGTGTCATGTCGCAGACCCCTGCTCGCAAAGTCTCACGCCGCAGTAGAATCAGGAGGGGGTGAAAAACACAGAACTTGGGAGCAGTAGCAGTTTAAAACAATTTCACAGTGCTCAGACTGCGCTGGTGTCCACGCTGCTCTCCAAGGCCAGGAACTGTTCATAGAAAGGGTCTTGTGCTCACAGTAGGATTTTGATAGAAGGCTCTCTGTTAGCAAGGCCTCCCGGGTATAAAACCACCCGTTGCAATTTATGTTGGTGATATGACAGGCTCACAGATTCACTGCAATCTCCTAGAGCTATCAACCTACAGAAAAGACAAAATTTTCCTGTCACTGTAAATGTGGGAAGTTGAAATTCTCTACACTAATCATTGTATAGATTGCAACCTTGATGAAGTGTGAGTAGCTTCTCATTTAATGTATTCTCTTCCTCCTTTAAAAAAAATAAACAAACCACAACAATGAAACAAGGTTTTAAGAAGGTACCTTGTTATGTTGAATAAATGTGTGCTTCTCATAGTCAAAAGCTGCTGGTAATCTACTATTAATAGCTTACAACAGGAAAAAAAAAAAAAATTGGCATCACCCTCGGAGAAATTAATTATGTCAGGAGTAAAAAGTAAAGACAAAATTAAAAGAAAAGCCTAACAAGACTGTGACAAAGTAATCACTTAAAACAATCACTCAGAGCTGTAGCATCACCCAGCCAAGCAATACAGGTCACGTTCAAAAACAGGCAGCACAGTGTTGTGCTTTGAAAAGAGGGGTGAAGCTGGGTGGGAGCACCCTTCTTGCACCTTGCTGCTCAGCTTTCACAGACCTTGAGGTTCCTGCATTGCTACCATCTGCATGCATCACAGAATTTCAAAGACCACACGCAGATTCAACACATGGAATCAGAAGTACTTGGATTTATATTCTATATTCTGTAGGGCTATGAATTTAATGCTTTCAAACCTTTTATATTTGCCTCATCTATTGGCCTTGCATTATGAAACCCTGCAACATTTTCCAACCAGGGCAGAAGCAGAGCTGTTTGAAAGTGGGAAACTGTTTTCTTACCATATCTCATCCAAAAGCACTGATGCTTTCAATTCCCAATTCTACCACAGAAACAAGAGTATTTGACGAGGTTAACAGCAAGGAGAGGGAAAGAAGATGAAAAGGCTCTGAGAAGTACTGATATGAAGGGAAGAAATCAGAAGTGGGTGAAAGGAGATGAAGTGATCATAAGGACAGAGAACATTGAAGATTATTCTGACCAAGGGCCAACAGGGATGAAACTGAAGCCAGCTGTTAAGAGAGTTGAAGAGAACTGTAGCTTTAAATAAATTCCCTAGTCTGAAGTCAGGGGCAAATGTGAACTTTATCAGAATGATGATGTCTCCTGGACTAGGATGACCAGGGACCGTCACATGAGATTGCACTGGGTTCCAAATCATTCTCATGATGTCCAAGATAACTGGAAACGTTATCTTCCTTAAACTCGTGTGGTATCTGGAGAAAAGCCAGTGCAGACAGCCAGCTCTTACAGTACTTGCACTGCCTGCAGCTCCAGTAGCAGCTACATAGCCTAAGGAGCTAGCCCAGGCACTGACCACTCTTGCCTGCCCTGCCAGGCACTCAGGAGAGCTCTGAGGAGTCCCAGTTTCATCAGCTTACTCCAATTTCCTACCTGTAGCACTTCTATCTTGTCAACAAACCTACACATTGTTGATGCACCAAAAAAACACAGCTTTTTAAATATAGGGCAAATAGCATTTTTAGTGCTTATTCTCTGGTTAAGAAAACTTGCTTTGGACGCAAAGGCTATCTACAAATCTCTATGTAGGAACTATAAAGAGTGGTTAATTAATTACTTCCCATGTCCTCCAAGTACTAACCAGTATAATAAGAAACTAGGCAGGGTGTTGTGAGTATCAGTGGTGGAAAGGTTCAGTCGGATACTAAGAAAGCTTTGCAGTTAACCATTAAAAGAGGGTGCTGAGGACGTGCTGAATAACTACCATTGCAGGGTTTAAACACGAGGTTAATCATATACCATCTTAATCCAAAATCACTCAAGACCAGTCTCAGTACCTGATTCTACTTCAGATCAAGAGGATGGACAAGGTGGCATCTATAATCTTTCCACACATAAAAATTCTAGATTCAACTGACTTCCCTGTTCTTTTAGGTCAACATTAAGCTTATATAAATGGGATTCATTCAAGAAGAGAAAAACTACAAAAATGCAGTGAAA